GACAAACTGTTATAACTAATAGATCAAGATGTTTAGAAGAAATATAATAGTGAGTATGGATTATCTAATGCTTGACTGAGTCTATCATGAAGAAAAACGCGTGACAATTCTTGTTCAAAGGGTTCTCTGTAATAAAGCATAAACTGAGGATTATGTCTTTAAAATGTTTTGAGATATTTGAACCTCTCCAAGTCTCCATTATGCCATTTTAGGGGAGACTCGAGCCTCCCCAAGCCTAATGGCTCCGCCGTCCATGTTACCAATATTAGTGATATCACTAAAATCACCTAGATTGTCTCGTTTTTTATGAGCTTCTTCCGATGATTTTGGCCTTATAAACCAATAACTATGTTCACGTAATTGAGAATTTGATACACCAAAAAAAGCTGTTAGCGCAATTTCTTGCGGGATTAAAAATGTGAAACACGATGTAGCTGCTATAACCGATTTTCTAAAAGCTGTTGTTTTTGTATGCATACTGATGTACATTTCATAATGGCTTACCTTATATTATATACTTTCAACAGGATAATACGCCATATATGCTTCAATCATATGTTAGTTATGCAATATATCTGATATTTCCTTGAAGTCATCTATCACAGCCTATAATGACCCTTGAGTCGTGTCTGTCACGGTCTGTGGGGGCGGGGGGGCCAAATTTCTACCCTTAAATACTTCAACACTTCTTTCAGATCGTGTTTCACAAAACGATACAAAAGTAATATCTAATTCACTTGATCGAATTACAAATTATCATGTTATCAATAAGACAACATATATATTTGTTCAACAGTGACGTTAATATGATTCTCCGAATTTTTCTGATTGTTTTTGTATTTGCGGCCTTCACGAAAACGTTTTCTCAATAAAATCGATAGTTTTTTATGTGTTTCATGGTTTAACTTGGATAAGTTTTTTCAAAGCGTGATAAAATAGAGACGAGAAGTTTTTAGCAACCATTCGTATTCAGTGGCTTTACCGTGTAGGGTTCAATGGTATTTTTTATTTTTCACTAACTACAATTGCCTGTACTCATCTCTTGGATATATACGTTTGATTTCATTCTGTAGGACACCTGTATACTTACTGTCGTATAGATAGGAACGGCTACTCATCGTTTCTGTTCTGCTTTCAGGCAGGCCCACACCGTATCTATATTAGTGTTTCGTAGGTTGCAAGTCTGCTTCTTATAGTTTCTTACAGCAGCAAAACCCTATCTGCAACGATCTGCGACGGAGAATTACCTGTCTGTAACAGTCCGTGAGGAGGGAGGGAGTCATCTGTGTGTAACGATCTGTGACATTAGAATCAACTATCTGTAACAATCTGTGACGGGGGAATCACCTATCTGTAACGGTCCGTGAAGAGAGAATCAACTGTCTGTAACGGTCTGTGACGCTGATATCACCTGTCTGTAACGATCTGTGACGGGGGCAGTGTCTGTCTGTAACAGTCTGGGGGGGGGGGGGGGGGGGGGGGG